ATCTTACACAGTGGGCCTTTTAATGGGGCATCCCCTGAAATGTGATTGATTGATTAACTTTATTAATCCCCCAAGAAGGAAACTTCATTAGCCACCGCACTCTGACGCCATAAAAACATGAGTGACAGTAGTCACAACAGAACACACACATGAACCACACACAGACACTGCATTATTAATTGCAAGACCAGCCACAAGGGGCACTGCACGGACATCTCATGTTGAAAAATAATACGAAAAATAATAATACAAAAAAAAACCAGGTAAGAGCATACCAAAAACATACTTTCAGACATCAGTATCCCTATCCAATACAACTAGAGAACAACACTCTGGGAAGTCGACATTTACAAGCACTTTGCCTCTGTCTGAATCACTACGAGCTGGATATGGAGTTACTGGAGAAGGCAGCGAAGAGGAAGTACTCTTCACCACTTCCTGAATGCTGGTCCTCCAAACATCTCACTCTATAGGAGGGTTTCAATCATGTGATCTGAATTTCCAAAAGCACATTCCAAGTCCGCCATCTTGGTACATTCTAGAATAACCAAGCAACCAGTTGTTATTATCCTTATTATAATGATGGTGAAAAAGCACCAAGATGGTGGCAAGGAATATGTGCGTGCATCATGTGAAACCCTCCTCCTAGCCCCAAAGGAGCTGGCAAATCCCCTCCTCTATTCATCAGCTGAGGGGCGCCAAAAAACAAAACAACATAGATCTTAGCTTTTGTCCTTGACAGAAGCTTGTGTTTTCCTTTGGAGTGGAAGATCAGTTTACTACCTGTTGATTAATCACTGCCTTCCACATCCATGGATTGATGGCAGAATTTGTCGCTGCTGAATAATTCCAGGTCAGAAGTCAAATGGTGAGGGGAAGGGAGAGAAATACAGGAGAGGCGCTGGTGTTTTGAACATGGACAGGAAAAAGGCCCTCTGTTTTACCAGGTGTTGATTAGCTTTTACAAGCTACACACAAGATGTATGATGGCCAGATCAGCCTACCAGTTGGTACAGTCCACTGAGGAGGCTGGTAGCCATATGTGTGATCTATCCATCACACATATGGGTGGACACTACCTCTTGGGATGTAATGGCTAATTAACATCACACCCGGTGGTCAAATATTGCCGACAAGAGTTACTTCACATATTACAAAGAATCATTTTTTGTAAGTTTAAGTTTTCAGCGCTTCACACAAACACTATCCAACGTCATGGATAATGACGTTGGATAGCACAATTATAGCTCAGGTCTGAGCTATAAATGTGTTGCCATTGCTTCTGGCAAGATTTTCCTTGGGACTGTTCTGTATCATGTAACCAACTAGACTCAACTAGCGATTCCCAACCAAGGTTACATGTACATGAGCAGGTTCCAGGGGGGTACTTGGAAAGATTGAGATTTCTCCCGGGTTTTCCCATCTGGGATTAATAGTATTCTCAACTCTCTTTGGTTTGGTTTGGATGAAGGGTACTTGAACTGTACTGATTGGGCTGTGGGGGTACATGAGACCAAGAAAACATTGCTGAAACACTGAGCTAGACGATGGATTAAACAGTCACTGCGATGCTAATGCTAGCTAGCAAGAAGGGACGGAAGAACACATTTAGTATCGCCACAGCCGCGGTTAAAGGTTCAAAATCCCAATGTTTTTGCTCATGGTGGCTGAGTGTCTTTGGCTATCAGGATAAAGGCGTTCGCTCAGCCATACGACCGTCTGCCTTTCTTCACAAACTGTCACACCGAGTCTTTCACAGTCGATGGGAGATAAGCCGGCCGCCATCACTGCTACATTCATCATTTGTATTTGACAGATTGTTTGTGGTTCTTCTTTGATAGTGGTTTCGTGGGTTTGGTCTAAGGTGAGTGTAGGTTTTGGCTAGGCTCAGATGACAACTGCAATGTTGAATTGTGATTGTGTTTTTTGTTGCTCAGAGGTCTTTGTTCAGAGTGTCCACATTGTGGTCTTAGGCCAGGGGATGTGTGTCTGGAACAGGGAACCACATACATGTTGTGGACCCAAATCCCATTTTTTGCTTCTTTTGCTTCGCTTTTAATTCCGATTCTATGGCGTTTACACTGTTTGGAAATCACATCAGTTTGGGAACCTTTGTGGTCTGTTGTTCATCAAAGTTTTAATCAAGGTATTTAAACGAGTGTCTGATGTAATGAGAGGAAGGGGTAGGAAGATGGGTGGGTGGGCTGTCCTGAATGTGGAGCATGACAGAATGTACGTTCCCAGGCTACAGCATAACGGCCAATATCCACTATACGCGAATTATCCGCGTGACATTGCGCCGCCTTGAAGACTCGTTCACTTGAGGGCGTGTTGACTAGTGGATCAACTAGCTCCCGCCCGCATTGTGGTAATGAATCAGAAGGGTCAACGTCACGGCCCACACCCACGTCCTGTTTGCTGACTGGTGACCACGTGGATTCGCGCCGCGTGCATTTGCATAAAGTTGAAATTTCTCAACTTTATGCAAACTTAGAAGCGGAGCCAGGCCGTGCCGCAGCTGGCTCCGCGCCGCAAGCAATCCCAGCATGCTTTGCGCAGCGAATTGCACGCGTCCCATAGAAAGTGAATGGAGGCGGAATTGGCCGTGCGGCAATTCGCGTATAGTGGATATTGGCCGTAAGAGCTCCCTCAACCTGGAATGCAACCCTCAGCCTTCACATTCAGCCAGGGGGCTCGCAGACATTTTCCAGTTGACCTGTGTATCCAAAGAGGCGGACAGGTGGGAGGAGGCGGGAAAATGAAAAAAAAAAACGAGACGTGCTTGAGGGGTAAAGAACTCATCAGCTTCAGATGGTTGACTTATTTTCAAGAGGCGGTCTGGTAACCCGTCTGCAACCAAGGAATAGTGCTGTCAAGTCAACCGAGACAGGTTGGCCGGATCTTGACATTGAGGATAGTAAAACAGTGTCAATGTCGACTCAAAAATAAACCCAAGGGTTAGTGCCTTAAACAAGACAGAGTTGTGCCTTAAACAAGACAGGGTTAGGCGTCAAACAAGACAGGGTTAGTGCCTTAAACAAGATAGAGTTAATTTTAATCTATATCTCATCATTCGCTTTACATGATAGCAAATTTATAAACAATTGGTATCCTCATATTGTTAGTGTAGCAAGCAGGTGTACTACTAAGTATCGACTTTGACTCTTGGGCTAGGGGGTGGCCCTAACCCCTACCTGCTCCTCAATGACATGCATCTGAGCTCACTGTGATCTACTCCACTGTACATCTCTTCTGTCGACATATTGTTGGTTATAACCAGCGATGGGCTTTGCTGTTACCCAAAAAAGCGGGGGCCGCCATAGAAGGTTTAGAAGATTCCTGTGAACACAGAACCTACTGTCTTGTCTCAGCCTGCATCTCTCCCTTTCTCTCTTTATTGTTCATTTATTCTCTGCATGGCACCAAGAACAACTGTCCCCGCCCACACCTTTGCCCACTCTGAGAGAGAGTGAGAGTGAGTGAGTGTGAGAGTGAGAGAGAGAGAGAGAGAGAGAGAGAGAGAGAACTCCAAATAATGATATTTTCAGCAGGATAGTGCAGTGGCTATGTTGTTTGGCTAGGTCTAAGCCCAAATGTCCACAGTCTAACCTGTAGGCATCTTAGAGCAAGATGCCCCCTAACCCCTACCTGCTCCTTAATGACCTGTCTCTGTACTGTCTAACCCAGTGGTTCTCAAACTTTTTACATCAAGTACCACCTCAGAAAATACTTGGCTCTCCAAGTACCACCATAATGACCAACAATACAGTAGCGTAGTATATTTAATATTGTCAGCCATTGTAACATTTTACACAGTTTGAACAGTGAGACTGCGCTTAAATATAGGAAAATAAAAAAAACTGTACTTAAATAATAATTCAATTAAAATGTATTGCACGTTAAATAAAAGTTAAATAAACATTGTACTTAAATAAATGTAAAAAAACAAAACAAAAACTGTTCTTAAAGATTAAATAAAACTGTACTTAAATGTTAAGTAAAAAATGTACTGCACAAAAAAAAAACAGGCTGTATGCATAGCTGCAAGTAAAGTCCAAAACAGACCGCCACCGAACAGGCGCGCGTCAAAACAGCCACCCTATTATTTTCTATGTACAACCCCCACACCGGCAGCGGCAGGTGCCCAGCGGCGGCAGGCGGCCACCGGCGCACGTCGAAGCGCCGCCCCGCTACACTTCACACCACTGTCCTATTTCACAGCGTCGCCGCCTCTGAAAAGGCGCTTTTTTCTTTTCTTTTTTTTTCTTCTGCTCCGGAGACGACTATATTCCTGTTGACGCACCGCAGCGCGACGCTTCCTATGGGTGCTAGGGGCGGCACTTGACGCGTGTCATATGACGCGCCGCAGCACTGTGGTGGCAGTGTGTTTTGCACTTAACAGTTGCTGTCTATTTTATTTATATTTATTTCAGTGATTCTTTGGCGTACCACTAGAGGGAGCCCTGCATACCACTAGTGGTACGCGTACCACACTTTGAGAATCACTGGTCTAACCCCTACCTGCTCCTTAACCCCTACCTGCTCCTTCATTGACTGATTACAACAGTGTCCAAACTGCACCCTCTGCTGGTGGATTTAAGGAACTTCAAATGAGCGCGCGCGTGTGTGTGTGCGTGTGCGTGTGCGTGTGCGTGTGCGTGTGCGTGTGTGTGTGTGTGTGTGTGTGTGTTTAAATCTCGCCAACCTAAACTAATCTCCTGATAGACAAGAGCCATGAGAGTCGGTTCAGTTGACAGCCAGCGGACAACTGTGTGTGTGTGTGTGTGTAAATATGTGCATCGATGCCACATTCGGCATGTATACACAATGTCTAACCCCTACCTTCTCCTTAATGACCTGTCTCTGTACTGTCTAACCCCTACCTCCTCCTTAATGACCTGTCTCTGTACTGTCTAACCCCTACCTGCTCCTTAATGACCTGTATCTGAATTTACTGTAATTGTTTCGGTTCAAAGTGTCTAAATAGTGAATAGTAATCCAGTCCAGAGTCTTTTTAATGGGCTTGAACCACTAACCCTGGCAGCGTTAATGCCTTGCTCTACCAGTTGAGCTGGACAAGGAATCATTGCTTCCAGTCAGCCAGAATGTGAAACATTAGATAATCTATTTCTTAAAAGACGGTTGATGCCACTGTGTTTCTATTTTCACACTCTTGCTGTGCACGTTATTTAACGAAGAATACATTCAGAATTGCACATATGTGCTGTATGTACAACCACATTTTCACTGACTGATTGCAACAGCGTCCAAACTCGCCCTCTGCTGGTGGATTTAAGAAACCTCAAATTAACGTGTGTGTGTGTGTGTGTGTGTGTGTGTGTGTGTGTGTGTGTGTGTGTGTGTGTGTGTGTGTGTGTGTGTGTGTGTGTGTGTGTGTGTGTGTGTGTGTGTGTGTGTGTGTGTGTGTGTGTGTGTGTGTGTGTGTGTTTAAATCTCACCAACCTCAACTAATCTCCTGATAGACAAGAGCCATGAGAGTCGGTTGACAGCCAGTGGACAGCTGTGTGTGTTTGTGTAAATATGTGCATCGATGCCACATTCTGCATGTATACACAATGTGGATTATGTGTTCATGCAATCTAGTTCCGCTGTATAATTCTTGTTCCTCTACTTCTTGATGAATTGTTACCTCGTCTAAAGCTGCTTGATGGTGTTGGGCCCCTGAGTCGGGGCCAAAATATAATCAATAAGTAAATATATTATATCAATAAGGCTTTATTGATCCCCGGGAGGAAATTCACAAGCTGTCCAGCAGTATGTAAAGAAATAGATACAATATATATAAATACATTAAAATGAGCTCCACCTTTACCAGCTGCAACATTAAAGAGATGAAAACATTAATGCAGCAATACATATAATCCAATAAATAATATACAATTATTCTGAAATGGGCCATTCTGCATGATGAGTACTTTTACTTTTGGTACTTTAAGTGTCTTTTGATGCTTTTTACTTTTACTTAAATAACATTTTCAATGCAGAACTTTTACTTGTAGCAGAGTACTTCTACAGTGTGGTACTGAAGTAAAAGATCTGAGTCTTCTTCTGCTACTGCCGGTGTGTAAATCCAGCCTCTCACAGATGGACGTTTGTTTTAATGACAACTTTACAAGCCTGGAAGTGAGGACACACAGAGATACACAGACCACCCACTCTAGCAGAAGATCTCTCTCTCTCTCTCTCTCTCTCTCTCTCTCTCTCTCTCTCTCTCTCTCTCTCTCTCTCTCTCTGTTACAGCTGTGTATGTGTGTGTCAGGATGTCAGGGCTTCATAGAGCACCTTATTGTCAGTTTTACTAGCATGGTATGTTTCTCGTCATGCGTATCTCTATTTCCTTTCCGCAGTTGAATCTGTCACACACACACGCATGCATTAAATATGTATCAATAAAAAAGTCAGTTTCTCAGCTACAGCCACAGCTTTCCCATCATGGTCAGAGGAATGAGACACACTGCTCTAAGACCGAAATAAAATATGAAATGTGAAAATATCACCACAATATAATTATACCTGCCAATGCAAGCAGAAGAATTTCATATATTAATTCAAGACATTTCTTGATTAAACACAATCTGGCAGTAACTCTCACTGGGGCGTCTTCGCTAATAGTTCACTGCTGTGCCAAAAACACGAGAGAGAGAGAGCGAGAGCGCGCGCGGGGTAGTTTCCAGACCTCTAAATGTCACACGGTCGGGCGTGGGAGGTCTGGCCACTGGAATGTGAAACAGCTGGATGTCCACAGCCTGGCAGATACACTGGAGAGATGGGAGAGAGATGGGGGCAGAGGGGGGGAGGAGAGAGAGATATGAGAGAGAGAGGAGGAAAGCGAGCGAGAAAGCGAGAGAGAGAGGGGTGTGGGGGGAGGGAGAGCGATACGGCTGGTTAGATGATAAGGGCACAGGGCGATGCAGAGATGCGGGGGGTGATGACCATTATGTGTGTGTGTGTGTTATTCTCCATCTGTGGGAACCTTGGAAGCTGGTGTGATTACCGGGAGTTTTTCTGAGATGAGGCAATGCACACACACACACACACACACACACACACACACACACACACACACACACACACACACACACACACACACACAGACTAAGACACCAGGCTGAGTGAACACGCTTTTCCCATGAACCTCCCTCTCAGCTGGTCTCTCTCTCTCTCTCTCCACCATTCCTGTCTCTTTCTGAAAGTGCCTCCACGGTGCTCTGTACCTCTAAAGCTCACCTCTCACTCCTCTTCTCCTTCTACTCTTTTTTCCTGTCATGCTTTGGCTCATCCCTCCATTACCCTTCCCTCCCTCGCTCTTTCTACTGTCTACCCTCCCCATTCTCCCCCCATCCCACACTCCTGTGAAGAGAGAATCAATCAAATCAAATTCTAAAGGCCATTAGAAACCGAAGATTTAGAAGAAGCCACAGCTTCTCGTACCTCCTGACACCTCCTCGTCTTTCCTTACCTCTGTGATTTGAACAGCCAAATAAAGTAGATTAGACAGTAAAACGGTCAAACCGCCCGTTCAAGCAATTTAACTGCTAACAGCAGCTACGGCAGTTCCTTTATTTTTGTATCACTTCTTGCGGGTTTCCCGGGCCTTTTCATACGTGTAGCCACCCGACACTTCAACGCGTCATTTTTAGCGTTGTTTCTTTATCGGTTTCAGTTTTTTCCGGTTTTTGGAATGTTTCTTCTGGAATTTGCTCCCGACGTCCTTAGATGGTAACGAAAGTTACCATGCGTCGGGTATGCAAACAGGTCGCGGTAACGCGTGCGTGCGTGCACACACACACGCGCGCGCGCGCAGATATTGCTGGAATATAGAAATAATTAGGTGGTCGAGTGAGTCGAATGAGTTGAGTCCGTAAACACTTCCTTCCTGGGCCACTACTGCCATGGAGTCATGTGCCGTTATGGAAGTTCATAGGAGACATGCGGTGCGTTGACACGGCGATGCCTAAACAAGGCCAGGCTTGAAACGTGGAGTCGCTCAGCAAAGAAAACATAAAATGATCTCAGGTAGGATAGGATTAGATAAACTATACGTCATTAATCCCAGGCGAGAAACTAGGTGGGTTAAGGAGTAGAAAGTACATGTAATAACAGTCACGCCAACAGGACATAGCTGCAGCTTGTTCAAATGCAACAAAGGACTAAACGATGAGAGCTAGCCTCCAGTCCCCAGCAGTACAGTCCCAGTGTGTGCACCCACCACCCACTGCCCAGAGTGTGCCCCCCCCCACCACAGCCCAGAGTCCGTCCTCCAGTGTGTGTGTGCCTGTGTTTCAGTATGTGTCTGTGTGGGTACATGTGTGTGTGTGTGTGTGTGTGTGTGTGTCCATGTGAAGGGAGTAACTCCACTGGGGCAGAGAGAGAGCATTGAAGGGGGGGGGGGGGGGGGTGGTTGACTAAAGGGGAGGATCTTTGAGGGGTAGGGTGGGTTTCCCAGCGTGTGTGTATGTTTGTGTGTGTGTGTGTGTGAGTGTGTATGTGAATCTCCTCCACACTCGCTCATCTGTCACTGAGTGCACCACCAGCCAACAGTGAGGACCTAAACCCCCGGCCCTGAGGCTTACAGCAGGTGTGAGGACTTGTGGGAGACAGAAGGGCTGCTTGTTGCGGCCACCGGAGAGCCGTTCATCTCAGGGACACGGTCTCACTCCAGCTGTGGTGGGTCAACGTCAGCCGGGACACCGGGGACAGCAAGCGGCAGCAGCATGGCCACGCTCAAGCTTTGGTTCCTGCTGTCCGTTCTGTACGCCGCACGCTCGGATGCCTGGTTCTGGAATCCGCAGCCCGAAGAGCCGGAAACCACGGCAACCACGGCGACCACGACGAAGGCAACTCCGGAGCATGGAAACCGTAAGTCTCCCCCCTCCCTTGGGACTGACGGCGGAGCGCCACTGGCGGAGGTGCCCCAGCCTCAACCAGACCGGTGGTGCTGAACGCACTGGTGGACAGAGGGGGCAGGGCGGGGTTGGCGGTTGGGCGGGTATAGGGGACGATGGTTCGGGGTCAGGGTTCAGCCTGGATTCTGGGTCTGGGTCGGGCTTGGAACCTGCTGTCATTCTCTCTACGACCGCAAGTCTGAAGTCGTCAGAGCCTAGCATAGCAACAACTAGCAAACCGACACCTAGCAGTACGACACGTAGCGATACGACACACAGTAATATGACAGCTAGCGTAGCCACGGCTAGCAGTACAACACCTAGCAATACGACACACGGTATTATGACAGCTAGCGTAGCCACGCCTAGCAGTACAACGCCTAGCAGTACAACACCTAGCGATACGACACACGGTATTATGACAGCTAGCGTAGCCACGCCTAGCAGTACAACACCTAGCGATACGACACACGGTATTATGACAGCTAGCGTAGCCACGCCTAGCAGTACGACACCTAGCGATACGACACACACGGTATTATGACAGCTAGCGTAGCCACGCCTAGCAGTACGACACCTAGCGATACGACACACGGTATTATGACAGCTAGCGTAGCCGCGCCTAGCAGTACGTCGCATAGTGCTAACGTAACAACAACTAGCATAGCAACACCTAGCAAAACAAACACCTAACATAACGACACCTAGCGTAGCATCAGAAATTGTAGGTAGCGCAGCGCCACCCACAAATGTATCCGCAATCACAGAGGAGATCACGGAAAAGTTAACCTCAGCCAAACGTCCGATCGTCTCATCCGCTCCCCCACCGCTCTGTCTCACGGCGCCGTCAGATTGGCCGATTTGCCGACACCGAAAGTATTTCTCGCTTCCCAACTTTTTCAACCACACCTCTGCGGGGGGAGGTGGCGGCGTTTATGAAGGAGTGGGAGGGGTTGGTGCGGGACGGCTGCTTCCAGGGCTCCGAGTGGTTCCTTTGCAGCTTGGCGGCGCCCGAGTGCCAAAGCGACCCCCGCGGGCGAGGCTAACCGGCCCAACTCTGCGCTAGCGGCGCAGCTCCGCCTGCCCTGCTGCAGTTCCTGCCACCAGATGCGGGACAGCTGCTGGTCTAAGATGGAGGGGCGGGCGTTTCCCCGTAGACTGCGAGCTTCTG